TAATGATGATTTTTTATTATTATTTGTTTATTCAAAAAGATGGGAGGTAAATGAGTATTTTATGCTTTATAAATTAGGACATAAACCATTGTTAGAGATAAAATGTGCAAATTATTTTACAGGGGCAGACCAATTCTCTTGCGCTTCGACCCACCATTCAGTATGAATGGAGTAAGGGTCGTACCGCACCTCCATCCCGCCATTCCATATGAATGGAGCAAGGGAAAAAGTTGAAAGTAAGTTCGAAAATGAGCAAAGAATGATGATGTTCATTGTAATTAAAATGTGATGTAGTTAACAAAAATTGTAATGTAAATATGTGCTTATTTGGTACAGAGTTCAAGTCAATTAAAATTAATTTTTTTACTGTTATTTCACTATTTCAGTCGTCATTTTTAATTCTTCTCTCATAGGTAAGACCCAGTTTATTTTTAACGGTCAAAAAATTAATTATCAGATCCCTACCAAACAAGCACTATAATTAGTCAAAGAAAAATTTGTGAAAATTTTGTTTTTTTTATTCAAAAGATATAAAAAATAAAAAATAAGAGAGAGGAGGCCGGTATTCAACTTTAATAGCCCTCTAATCAAAGGATGCAATTTCTGCTAAATGTTCATTTCAAGATAGGCACTTATTTAAACGATTATTATGTCTCTATGTAAAAGGGTTTTTGGGAATAAATTTTATGAAAATTAATAATTTAAAGAATGTGATTAATAAAATAAGAAAAAAAATTTATTTTACGTGTAAAATTTTTATATTGAGAGAATGTACAGTAAAAATAAATGTGTAAAAAATAAATTTTAAGAAATGAAAATCAAACCGAGTAATATAATACTTTCATAAAAATAAAAATAATTAATTACTTCTGTTTTTACCTCAAAAGTGATTGTTTCGACAAACAAGTTATTGACTTTTTCGTGTCTGGGAAGGCAAGTAACCACCGGTTTGGCATCTAACCACCGTAGGCTACCTCTATAAAAAATTAATAATTAGAAACAAATTCCTTCTTGTCCCTGTTTGATTCTGGGACGTGATGGGGGGGGGGGGGGGGGGCCCAAAGGCCCAAAAAAAAAAATTTTGTTAAGGAATTTTCATTTTTTTCCGGTAATTTTTTTTTTTGTTTATTAGCTCGGTTTGAATTTTTGTAGCCCGATCTTGGCTCCAGTTCTGAATCCATCCTTGGGCGTGAAGGTATTAGTCCTGAATACGTAACGAAGGCTCATATCTTATATTTTTTAATAATTATTTCAACTAATAATCATTAGTTGAATTTTAAAAAATGACTGTGTTCATTGAACTTGTAATTGCATAAATAAATAAAAAATAATAAAATAAAATAAAAATCTTTGCACTCTCCATTCTGATACGATGGACCAAATTGCATTCTCCATTAATATAATATCTATTGTAGGCCATAATTTTGAAAGATTTGGATACAAACGATATCCTGCTTTTTTATGCTTAAAAAAGGTGGTACATGGAAATAAGTCATTCTTATTCATTTTTTTGGTTATTTTTACTTATCCCACTTTGCTTATTCGACAGATCGAATTAGTTGATTTTGACAATGAAGTAGAGTTGGTCGATTTTGGGAGAATTGATTCTTGTTAGATAGTGGGATTGGACCAAATTAAGGCATGCTGTGCTGTGTTGATGCAAAATCTGAATATATATTGTTTCAATTTCAAGATTCTTTCCCCGATTGCAAAGAAACTTTTATGTCAATTGCTTGCATTTGATTCTCATTTCGACGTTTTCTAAGAGAACAATATCCATACTCTGGAGAACAAAATGATGAGTGTCTAGAAATATGAGCAGCTTAAAAGGTGCTTTAAAAAGCAAATATGGAGTTGTATGTTTGGCTAAACTTAAAAGTAACTCAAAAGATGATTCTTCTTTATAGATAAATAAAATATAATTCACTTGTTAGAAACCAAAAAAAAAAAAAAAAATGAGAGAGAGAGAGAGATAATTAGGACTACTAACTAGTTGATTCTTTTCCACAGTTGTCATGCCAATTTGTAAAACGGTCTTGGCCTATTGGAACTAGGGTTGCCGGAGAGCCTGTTGGTAGGGATTTTTTACCCCAAAAAACTGATTTTTTAACCGTTATTTCACTATTTCAACCGTAATTTTTGACTTCTTCTCTCACATATGGACTCCACTTTTCTCCTAACGATCAAAAAATCAATTCTCAAAATCCCTTCCAAACGAGGCCTAAAAAAAAAGTATAGTTGGAACTCAAGAAGGTGATAATGAATAAACAGTTGATCAGGATTCTATTTGAATTTTGAATTTTGATTTTCTGGTGAGTATATGAGTTTTAAAAAAATAAAAAATAAAACTCTCTACTAATTAGCCATAGTATAAACAATCCATAAATCATGTGGTATTTTAAATTCTAGTATTGTTCTACATTTTGAATTTGCCTTTAGTGATTTTAAGTAATTTATAGTATTTTTCCAAATCCAATAATAAAGTCGGGTATATGCCTTATTAACTCGAATAATAATTAAAATTTTAAATTCAAGTCTCGTTAACAAATTTTTACCTCAAATGAGATACAACAATTTAAATAGATAGTGACAAAATTTGAACTCAATCATCTCAAAAATTAAATTGTTCAAAAAATGAAATTCAGGCAAAGCTTCATAAAATTATTTTAAAAATTTTCGCATTTGTAAAAGGAATAAAAAAAAAAATTAAACTCTCCATGCGTTTGCCCTAATTCGCTTGTGCTAATCACAAATAAGTTTACTGGAATAGTCATAGAATCCAACGATCTACCTGAATATTAGGGATGGATCCAAATTCAAAACTGAATTACAAAATTTTAAGTCGGACTACAACGCGAAAAAAAAAATTTATTCAAAACTGAACTACAAATTTTTAAGTTGGACTGCAACGCAAAAAAAAATAATAATAAATTTACACGTAAAAAAAAACTATTTTTACAAAAAATAAAATAAAATAATACCTTGGAATTTTTTTTGGGCCTTTTTTTTGGGGGGGGAGGGGCTATAGCCTAGCCCCAGTTCCCCCTCCATCTGTCTCTGCTGAATATTGTATATACAAAGCGCGCGCGCAAGAAATATGTGTAGAGTGTGTGTACACATGGGTCCTGTTTGACTCACATTCTTTCAAAAAATACATTATTAAATAGTAATTTGATATAATTTCAATCACACATTCTTCAATAAAATAATATTACACACAAATTTAAGAAAATTTCTTATTTTTTAATTATATATGTTTTATTAATACACTATTTAAAAATACATTCTTATAAAAACAATGTGGCTCAAACAAGGAAATAAAAAAGGCTCTTGAATCTATCTGTATTATATGGAGATACCTATTTATTGATTCATTTAGAAAGTTAGATGAGACACTTGTCGCTCATAGCAAGAGGCACATGGCAATCACCTACATGATTTGGTGGCAGGCAATGTGCCACTTCATGTACTAAGTGTTTGGAGTTCAAGATACTACAAATGTTTGACTTTATCTAGGATTTGCTTTGACGTAGAGAATCGAACTAAGTTTAGTCAAGAACGGATCAGACCTTCTCGATTCAACTATAGTTGAGCATGACTCGACCATGTGGAGTTTGAGCCATTCTTGAATCTTGACCACTTCGCCACCGGTCTTACCTTTAATGCTAAGGCACATCCATGATCTAGAATTGCTCGACTTACTCCTTCCGTGACCCTGCTTTAAGGGACTACCATGGCTGAGGTCCGATCCTATATTGCACGTGTCTCGAGGTGTTTTGTTTATTTGGGTCTTTAAGTCTTTCATTTCTTGACATCGGCTCGTGCACATCACTTTAGATTATAAGGTGAAATTACATTATGCGTCATTGATGAGCTCAAAAACGAAGCACATTAACACTCCATAATAGAGAAGGCAGTCGTTTTTGAATTCGAATACATAACATCGATACATATTGTAATTGTCGACGTAAGAAATCGTTTGCCCCATTTGACACCATTCATATTAAACAAATTCGGCGAAGAAATTTCTCTTTAATATGATACAAGGTCATAAAAAATTATCCTTTTTGATATAGTGGTCCGAGTGGGTAAGAGTACTAGAATCAATTGAACCAAATTAAATTGAACTGATCAGTTTAATTTGGTTCAGCGGGGTTTCTTGATTCTAGTAATCAAAATCAAGTTTTAATAAATTAAAATACATTATTAGCTCGATTTTACTAGGGATGACAATGAAGTGGGACATGATTGCTATCCCGTCAAGGATTTTTGGGAGTTTGAGACGTGGTCAAAACGCGATTAGATATCCCCATTTAATAAATTATTTAAAATACTTTTTAAATTTAAAAATTTAAAAATATAATTAATATAATAAAACAAAAGATTCGGAACCATGTTATCCGTCAATATCCCGTTTACCATCCCAGACAAACCAAGAAAATTTTGCAATCCCAGAATATTATTTGAATTATAAAAAATTCATGTTTATATAAACATTTTATTTATTTTATGATATTTAACATTTTTTTTATTTATAAATTTATAAATATGAGTTCCTATCAATAAATTTGTATATGTTAATATTCAAATTATGTATACATGGTGTATATATTATTTAAAAATTTATTACCAAAATCTTCAACAAATTTTAATTTTAACTAGCATGCATATTGAGAATTCGGAATTTTGTAAGCACAAAGTCTTTCAGTATTAATTACTATTAAAAATAAATTAAATTGTAATTAATGATATAATATTTTTTTCTTTTTCTTCCCAACGATATTTTAGATATATCAACATCATTAGATGATATATAATTCAAAAAGTGGTCTCAAAACTGTAAATATAAGAAGTTGTGTGATTTTCATAAAGCTCATGGGTGTCTATAATATTATCTCAAAAATAGATCTACTAATTGTAAATTTAGAAGCAACAAATATTGACATAAGTAGCGTGCCCCATTTGACACCATCCATATTTAAGGGGACAGGAGATGAAAATTGCTCTGAAATATTATACATGATGACATGGCGGATAACATTTGCATTAATAGTAGAGGGGGGCAGTTATTACATTTAAACACAAAAGGAAAAGTTTGGTGATGAAATTAAGGAAGAAAATAAACAAAAGGAAGGGGGAAAAAAAGCTATTTCTTTCCACCAATGGTAAGACCTCTTGGGTCAACTTTCTCAACTAGACCTCGTTTTGGATTCGAATTGACTATTTATTATGGGTAGAAGATTTTTCGAAAAGCCCTAGCCTGTTATCACTTAATTTTGTTTTGTAGGCTGATTTCTTGTAGTCGTGCCATGTGAACTCATTGTACAAACTTTCTTCTCCTTGTTCCATTATTGAGGATAAAGGTGTAACCTTCTCAGTCAAAGGTGGTCCTCCGAAGAAAATCATTGAAATTCGAGAATTCAAACTGCTTGACAGAACTCTGTGCCTTACACTCCTAAATCTCCCGTTGGTAAGCACCTGCACACCATGCCTCAATTCTGAGAAAGTGATTTTTTGATTAAAAAAAAAAAGAAAAAAGAAGAAGAAGAAGCAAATAGTCCATTATTGAGGATAAAGGTGTAACCTTCTCAGTCAAAGGTGGTCCTCCGAAGAAAATCATTGAAATTCGAGAATTCAAACTGCTTGACAGAACTCTGTGCCTTACACTCCTAAATCTCCCGTTGGTAAGCACCTGCACACCATGCCTCAATTTTGAGAAAGTGATTTTTTGATTAAAAAAAAAAAAGAAAAAAGAAGAAGAAGAAGAAGCAAATATTGTAAAAGGAAGTGGATGGAGCGGACCTGTAATGAATCACCAACATTGATGAAGAAGGAGGAGTGATCAGGTGGGACTGAGACCCATGTACCATCTTTCAGATAGATTTGCAGGCCTGATGTGTTGTTAGATCTTATGATAGATATTATTTGTGGGTCTGTATGATCTCCAAAACCTATCAAATTTCGACAACTCAAGTGTTGAAGCTCTGGGCATGGAGGATAATGGTTTATCCTAAAACAAGAATCACTTTTCTCATCCCTTAAAAGCCTGCTCAAAATGTCTCTTGGCCCTATTTTCAATTCTTCTGCTATTATTTCCAGTACCTCGCATGCCAAATTTCTCATTGCTGACAAATATTCGTTCACAAAAGACCTGGAAGTTGTTAAGGATTAAAGACCCTTTATTTACCATGTAAGAAAAGAGATAAAACTGAGAATTCTTACCAGAAAGATTCCGAAATCCCAGGGAGAACTAATTTTCCAGAGTTGGTGCTGAACAGAAGATACTCAACCCAACCCACATCACCATTCGGGCCAATTTTCTTGTCACCATAGCCAAAAGGGTTTGGAGGGCCAGACTTTTCTTTTTCCTGCTGTGGTAAATTGAAGAACTTCATAGCTTCATCTTCCAATCGGGCTATGGACTCCATTAGAACTCCATGGTTGATCACTTTGAAGAATCCGAATTCTTTGCAGGCCTCAACTATGAGGGTTTTTGCATCAGGGTCTAAGAGATCTACTTCCGGAATTTCAGTGAAAATGTTAGAAGCGGGCTTACATGTTTTTGTGTGAGCAAAATTTTCATCAACTTGCTGAGACACTACTACCATGGCGATCGGCGGAGAAGAAGTTTGAATTGGCAAAATGCTAATGCATGAACATGAAGAGAGAAGGAAGCGGTAGAAACTATAAAGACATCTGGCTTTAGAGTGTCCAGTTGGCAATTTATATAATCGAGGGGAAAAATCTCGTTGAAAATATAAAAAATTATTATTACATGAAAAAGAAGAAATGGTATCAGAAGTGGGGCACCGCACCATTTAGGTTTAAGTTCTTTCGGTGCTGACACGTAACGATGATAATTAATTTACTGTTTCTACCCATTCCTAATTCGGGCCCCTTATTTTATATTTTGCGTCAAAAATGCGTTTCAGAATGGCATTTTGTTGAAAAATGTGTGGTTATAAAATAAAAAAAAATTTTGAGTTAGTATTTAAAATTATTTTATAGGTGAATTTGTAAAAATGAGTTTGTAAAAAATGAGTTTTTGAAAAAATGAGGGCCAAACATGAACAAATTTTGTTTTCCTTAAACTCATTTTTTTTCACATACTTTATTAGATCCACAAATTTTATCAATTTTAAATCATATATTTCATCAATTTTTATCAAAATATACTAAGAGTTTAATGTTTATCTAAATCAAATAGAGACTATAAATAATGAGAAAGTTTGTTAAAATAAAAGTAGAAGCTAGAAGAATTAAGCTACTTGTATATTCTTGTTGACATCTCCCTATGTGCCAAAAATTTGGCCAGTGATGTGAAAAAGGGTTGTAGAAATCAATGACTATGATAGATTTCATGTCAAACTTAATGTACATAGAGCATGACTGGAACTAGAAAAGGGATGTGAAGTGTGGTTCTCGGATCCTATCGGTTCTAGTTGGTTAAAATCACGTTCAAAGAATTCCATCCACATCTATAATGGGTGCTAAATGGGACAAATTGAACAAACTAACCGTTAGATGAATCGGTTCAACCAAAGTGTGTTTTGAATCCTCCCTTGGTGGGGTGGAACGAGTCGAGCAAACTTGCAAGTCGCAATTTATATATTTAATTATATATTTTACTCATTATCACAAGTCGATAGCCAGTTGGCTAGCACACTAGCCAATCAGCTTGCCAGTGGGGCGAGCCGTCAGCAAGCCTACTCGTACATGAGCCGAAGAGTGGCTGCACAAGAAAATCGTTACCCAACTCGTTAGTGGGCTGACTTGAATCGACGAGCTATTGTCCCCTTAACACCTCTACAATCTATTGAGACAATTTAAATACCATTTGTGTTCAGTTGCACAAATTTAATTAGAATGCACTGACCAAGGCACCTACTTTTAGTATTGAAATCACTTGTGAGAATCTTTTATTCTAAAGGAATATAGAGCATGTTTGGCCATGCTTACAGGTTAAAATTCATTTTTCTAGACTATAAAGAGGTATATTGCATGAAAAAGAGAATCGAAACATGCTAACTTCTGTTCGATAACCATATTCTTCCCTAAAGTGATACCTTATAATTAAAAAATGTTAAAGAAAGGAATCTAAATATTGGATTTCCAATGTCAATGAATTTGGGGTCCAATTGTATTGTAATGGTCCCGAATTAGGTCTCAACGCAGAAAAAGAGCAGATGGAGACAGCGAAGCACCACAATTAACGGACTGAATCTGGACACAGTGCATCGAAACTGAGTCCTATCAATGGTTCTTATTAGTTTTCGGGCATGGGGACCCTAAACAACGACTAAGAGTGCCTTAATATTTGCCTTTCAAACACCTCTCAGGCTGTTTCTCCGTCGTTCGTGGTTCATAAAGGCTACGTACCCTTAAACGTTGACAAATTTTTCTACATGATTTTGTGAGTTATGTACGTGCATCTATACTAATTGTGGCATTCAGGGTTAGAAGTTGAAAAGTATTTCAAAAACTCATATGTTGATGAGTTTAGACCTGTTGTCTTATTCAATTACTGAACCTTAGACATCTCCATATACATCTTCTTTCAAAGGCCAAGCGTAGCTTCTAGCACCAATAGCCCTCTACACAGAGCCGCGACTTCAAACTTTTGTTTTTATAAAAAAATAAAATAAAATACTACAACTCTTTCATTTTTGAGTAAGCCCCCGTTTGGTAGTGCTTTTTCACCTCAAAATATTTACTTTTTGACCGTTATTTTACTATTTCAGCTGTTACTTTTGACTTTTTTCACTTACAGGTGATCTCCACTTTTCTCCCTAACAGTCAAAAAATCAATTTTCATAATTACTAACGAATGAGCCCTAAGAAAGACAAATAGTAAAATTTAATTTCTTAAAAATGTCGTGGTATCCAGCTAAACAACTTGTTTGGCTTACAACATTGGAAAAAAATTTCAGATTCAATACAATCCAATTTATAAGATATAATTCTCAACATATCTAGCTTATAAGTAGAAGGACCAACGGTTGTATGAATTTTGATCCACACACTATGTGATTTCTCAACTTATAAAATAGCAACTTTTTATGTCAAACATGCTCGATAACATATTCATAAATATTGATCTTTGTATGTCCAACGCTATATATAGCTGAGTTTTGCATCTTGATCGGCAGTGTTCAAATCTGAATCTAGACATATTTCTATAAGAAGCACATGATTATTTAATGAATTTTGAATACTTCTATTATTTGGGAATTTTAATGCAACAATAGTAAAAGGCCAAAGATCAACTCTCATTCATTTTCAAATGTCAAAAACTTACTAAATAGATAATAATTGCATGTTTGGAAGCTTACAATCAATTATGTGCCAGTCAAATTTCATTTTTATTCACATGTTTAATAATGTTCTCGACTCTTACTCTATTATTATTCATATATTTTATGAGATCTATAATTTATAATCTACAAATGCTTGTCAAACAATTAATAATACGCGGGACACTAGCAGTGCAATTTTCTCGTCTCATTTTACACAAATTTAAGGCTGATACATGAGTTCCCATCATTTGGTCCTTCATTTCCCCAACATTTTCTTTGGGCCTTTATTTCATGCTTTTACATTTTCCATCGACAGATTTTGATTAACACGAGGCTATCAAGGAATGGCGTGTCCGAACTCCATTCGTTAGTTTATCCGTCGTCGTTTGTGTTCTAAATTGTTCCAGCATCTACAAAAACCCATAAATGATATCTTGATTGGACTTCAAATGGCCCGCTTCACAGTAACATTGTCAAGGGTACATTTATTACTGGGGATAATTAGCACAAAACGTCCTTATTTTCAATGTTATTGTGCGAAACGTCCCGACGTTTCATTTTATGGCATTTTCGCCCTTACTTCACCTTTTGTTGCTGAAATCATCCCTTTTATCAAATTTCTCGTGTAAAATGACAAATATACCCCACATTTAAAAAAAAAAAAAAAAAGTTGCTCTAATATTATGTTAAATTATCTAATCTAAAATGAATCTAATTACATTAATGAATAAAATCAAGTTTAACCTTCTTGGAGAAAGAAAAGACATTAGTCTCTTGATGGTTAACAATATTGATTTAATACATATTAAATAATATTATTTAAAAAGTTAAGCTATTGAAGAGAACACACGTTAAAATATTTGAACTTTTATTTTAACACCTTTTCATGTGCATGTATGATGCGTGCGTGATATTTTCAAAACCAGCCCATTTTTTTAAGAATGTACTTTTCTCTTCTCTTTTCAATCATGCATTCTTCAATAAAATAATATTATATATAAATCCAAAAATTTTCCTTCTTTTTTAACCATACATTCTTAAAATTAAAAAAAAAATCCAATTTAAAATACGTTTTCCCCCAAAACACATTATAATGGAGGGTGCTCAGTGTAGAGGAAGTTCTGAATTTTTGTAAGGGGGAGGGGATTGTGGAGGGAGGGAAGGGGAAAGAGGGTTTATTTTTGGGTTTTTTAAGTGGTATTTGAATTTTAAAATTTAGCTCCTATTTTTAAAAATTAAAATTAGATTTTTAGTAGATTTTAATAAAAGTCAATGGAATGTATGGTTGAAATGTTATGGATATTATGATATGTGTGGTTAACATCAATTGTTTGTCTCGACTTAGATTTTAATAAAAAAATTTAGTAGTACCAAATATTTTTTTTTTACGTAGTCGGAAGAATCAACCTAATTTCCTCTCATCAAAAGGTATTTATTAGAGGGGCATTGGGCCAACCCTCATATTGAACTTATTCCAAGTGTAGACCTAATTTAATGGGCTATAAGTTAACAGACATCCAATGGGCCTATTTAGTAGCCCAAAAGCAAAAACTTTTGCAAGTAAGATCTTGAGATTTACGCTGTCGGTCTCCTTTAGACCCATTGAGGCCCAGTTATTGAAAAGCTTACTGGCCTTCCCAATCCCCAGACCAAGATTGTGGATTTGGTCACACTACGAGGGCATCATTTATTTTTATTATAAATCTCGAGACACTTTTTTTTTTCCGAAGTTTATAGGTCTGATAGCTTTCATACTTTAATCTTGGCATGTCAATTTTGTAAGAACTAGAAATCAGAAGGAGACTAACCCCGTTTGAGCCCCATTATTTCTCATTACATTAAATTAAAATTTTCTCTCTCCTACTTTTAACCACACAATTTTCAATAAAATAATATTATACGTAAATCAAAAACTTTTCAACCACTCATTTTTCAAAAAAATACTATTCATCTCATTATAATCTACAAATAATGGGGCTCAAACGGGGGCTATATGTATTAGGAAGATCCAATTTATTTTCGAAACCAGTCTAAAATATGCATAATTTCATAGTTAAATAGCGACAAAACTCGAATTCAAAATTTTTCCCACTTCTTATTTGATGCTGTATTGACTAAATTTATCTAAAAGGTTCAACCGCTAAATAGTGACAAATATAGTCATTTAAAATTTGTCTTCGCTCCGACTATAGCATGTGTAGCTTGCACCCTAAAAAAAAATAAAAAAATAAAAATAAAAATAAAAATTGAGAATGCAATAAACAAAAATAATCCATATAAATTTAAAATAATAATTTTGTTGATTATAGTTTCCTTCTTCTAAATTCAGGACCAACTCTAGAGTACATGATTTTTGCTTTACTTTCGGAAGAAATCTCTTTTAATCAATCGTAACTCTGATGGTA